GAAGCATCTCTTATAAGAGTGTGAAAACCTCTCCCGCACTTCTGAGCCAGACATTGGGTAGCGTGCTAATGAGAACACTGGCTCCCAAAGGGTGGAGAACTGTGAGATCCCACATCAATTGGAGAACAGAACGAAGTATCCTTTATAAGGGTGTGGAAACCTCTCCCTAACCTCCGAGCTAGACATCGGGCAGCGCACTACTGAGGACGTTGGCCCCCAAGGGAGTGGAGAACGGTAAGATCCCACATTAGTTGGAGAGCAGAACGAAACATCCCTTGATGTAGAAACCTCATTCTAGACTTCTCTTGCTCCTCTTGCTCCAATTCCTTTAAATTTTCTTACCAGAGACTCAAACTCTAATCTTGTATTCCGAGTTAATAGAGAAAAAAAAAATCATGAAAGCATAGAAGATTCGACCCCGTAGGAGAAAACAATAAGAAGATTAAAAACCAATCAGAACGTTTACTTTTGATGTAAGTTGATTATAAAAAAAACTCATCCATATTTGCTTCCGAAACGCCTTTCATAACTTCATTCAAGATCTTACGAACCTTCCATCTAAACGTCTGACAAGTCATACCCAAACTTGCATCAGAAAAATCTTCCCTAAACAAGAAACGTTCAATGATAATCTATTCCACGAGCATACGAACTAAGGCTCATCTTGTGAAACATTTTTACTAGCGATTGAGTCATCTTGAAGCATATGTTCATCTTCTTTGCCCCATAACAATAAATAAAGCCCAACCACCACGATAACTCCACCAACAATGCTACAGAAATAGAACAATAGCATAAAATTTAGTGTTCATCTCAATGTCCATTATAAAGATATGAAGCTTCTTACCTGCCGACGTAAAGCCTTTGTCCAAGAACAAAGTAAGCCAAAAGCGCAACCAAAACGGCACCAAGTGGACTGTACATGGTCGCGAAAACTGGGCCTTTTTTTTCAGTGCACCAAAGTTGTATATATACCACCAAAGCTGAGCCCACAATGCCCTGCGAGTATTCATTTCTAGCATCACTATAACACATCACAATCTGAGGCTATCAAGGTTGCTTTCCTGAGTTTCCTTACAGCATAGATAATGCACCATAGATCAATGTTGATTCCAACCTTCCAAACTCCTGGCTTGTGTTGTGTCAACAGTGCGAACACGCCTGTTTGTGCTGCTCCGATCAGGTTCATCCATGTCGTTAGCGATAGCTGAGCCGGGTATCGTTTTAATGTAAATGCCTGCATATTTTACCTGAGATTAATATATATACATATCTATTGTTCAAAACAATGGTGATGTGTCGTGCAACAAAGTACACATTCAATCTAGATGAACACAAAGAACAGAGAGAAAGAAAAAAATGCAAAGAAGAGTATTGACTAAAGGATTATATTGATGATTTCATGCCTGATAGAATACAGAGAATGAAGAAAGTAATGTTTGCTAGTGAGAGGTTTCCACACCCTTATAAGTAATGTTTCGTTCCTCCAGCTGACGTGGAATCTCACAATCCACCCTCTCGGGGGCCAACAAACTCATTGACACACTGCCCGGTGACTGGCTCTGGTACCATTTGTAACAACTCAATCCCACCGCTAGCCGATATTGTTCACTCTGGCCTGTTATGTATCGTCGTCAACCTCACGGTTTTTAAAACACATCTACTAGGGAAGGTTTCCATACCCTTATAAAGAGTGGGTTGTTCCCCTCTCCAACTGACGTGGGATCTCACAATCCACCCTCTCAGTGGCCAAAGTCCTTGCTAACACATCGCCCAATATCTAGCTCCGAACCATTTTGTAACAACCCGAGGCCCACTACTAATAGATATTGGCCCGTTTTAACCCGTTCATCTACCATATATAATTTGACCACTCCCAGTTTCCATATATAGTTTAAGCTATAAATGAGCAGCAGACATCATAACACAACATTATCTCATATCGTCAACATTGCCCCCACCCTCGTCATTCTAGATCCGAGTGAAGAATGACCATTCTTCGTCGTTTGAAATCTAGACTAGGCTTTTGACGATGGCAACGACGACAACGAGAAATATTTAGAACAGGTTAAGAAGATGAAACTTACAAAAGTTATAAAATTTAGTAGGGAGTTTAAATGAGGATTAAGGGACCTGCATAATGTAGGAAAGGGCCCAAGAAATGCAGCTTGAAACAGTAAGAACCGAACCCTTAAGCCAATTCTCATGAACATGATGAGTAGCTGTGTGTTGCATATGGATTAAAGGATGCCACAGATTTCTAATGATGGGTCCCTTATAGAAAGTCATTACCATCGCACCGCCCAATGAAACCAATGTCCCCAACACTTTGGCTATTCCTCTTGGATTTCGAAGGTCAACAACCTCCAATCTGCCCATGATCAAAGAGTTAAGAGTATCAGTTCTTCATTTCGATCAAATATGTGTTCATCAATAGTTTTTAAGTTCGTGAAAATCTAAAGAACTGAACTTGAACATCACTGCAATTATGAATGTCAAGCAAGCTATAGTGTTAACCATTGATGAGAGGAAGGTAGGAGATGTGTATCTCATGCTTGAGTAGTACATGTTTTGACTCAAACTCGACCTGCAATTTCATTTCGTTTAGATATCGGAATGAATTAAATGTGTGACATTAATCGAAACTTACCCGAAAAGTGAAAGAACAAAAATTTCTAAGAATAATGTCATCGTGATCCTCGGTCTTGATTTTCTACATAAACCAAAGAAACGTTCATACGGGTAAAAGAAATGTTCATACAACCCAAGCCCAACGCTAATAGTTATTATCTATTTTGACCCGTTACGTAGCGTCATCAGTCTCACGATTTTAAAAACGTGTCTGTTAGGGAGAGGTTTTCACGCTCTTATAAGAAATGTTTCGTTTTTTCTCTCCAACTTATGTGGGGATCTCACAATCCACACCCCATTGGGGGTTAGTGTCCTTGCCAGTACACTGCTCACTCTGATACCATTTGTAGTAGATATTGTCCGTTCTTACCCGTTACATAACATTGTTAGCCTCACAGTTTTTTCTAACGCGTCTATTAAAGAGAGGTTTCCCCACAATTATAAGGAATGTTTCGTTCTTCTCTCCAACCGATGTTGGATTTCACGATAATCCTCAAGTTCTGAGGATTTATGTGATCAAATGATGGAGAAGATGTTCAAATTCCATCTTTTGTTTCTTTCTCTATCTTTGATGAATTAGAATAAAAAAGACGAATTCAAGATGAAAATCACAGTACCTTTCGAGAAAATAAGCAAAGGGAAACAAAGCGATGGTAGCGACGATTTGTCGATAAGTAACGTGGATGTGAGGATTCATACCATGCTTGAAGGAAGCATCGGTAAAGAAATACAAAAATGTATAGCCAAATTCGGTTAGAATTATGAGGATGTGTGGCTTGAACTTCTTTAAAAACACTCGTAACAAATAGACTTTCTTCACCATGGCGACGACCGATATCCACCACCGATGTCGTGGCTCCTCCTTTGTATACAAATTCTTTGAGCTAAGTTTGAGAGTGTACACATAGAAGAACTTATTTGCAAGTATTAAGTTAGAAGGGGAAAGGTTATTTGTTGAGCATTAGTTCACAGTCATTATCAATGTGATGAGGACAAATACCTTTTACTTTACTCCAAAACATTTTTAGTAGTAAGAATATATGAAAATATCAACTTTAGAGTGGAGAATATATGGAAAGTTAGAGCAAAATCGTGTTTTTCGTGTTAAAAGAACCATGCACAAATTTGGTTGAATCAAGGGACGATTTTGCTGCCAACGATTCATATCACGACTCAACAGTTGTTCAGTTGTGGTGGTCGATACGTGTTTGTGTGGCCCTTAGTTTGGTTCTCTATTGGAGATGGACGGGAGCTCTATTTGTAGTTAAGGATGATAGTTATTTTAGAATCAAGAAGTTCCCTCCATGTCAAGGTTTCTGAATTAGCCTGTGAGATCCCATATCGGTTGGAGAGGGAAACGAAGCTCACCTTATAAGAATGTGAAAACCTCTCCCTAGTAGACGTGTTTTAAAATTATGAAACTGACGGTGATACATAATAGGTCAAAACGGACAATATTTGCTAGCGGTAGACTTGGACTATTAAAAATGATATTAGAGCCAAACACGGGGCGGTGTACCAGCGAGACTTGGGCCCAAAAGAGGGTGGATTGTGATATCCTACATCGGTTGGAGAGAGGAACGAAGCACACCTAATAAGGGTGTGGAAACCTTTCCCTAACAGACCCGTTTTAAAATCGTGAGACGATAATACGTAACGGGTCAAAGTGGACAATACTTGCTAAGAGTGGGCTTAGGCTATTACATAGCCCTCTAGTTCCAAAGAGTTGGTTGAACTCTTTGGGAGGTACATTCTACGATGGCAGAGGTTGAAAGGGAGGGGTCAAGTGATTAAGATTCCTAAAAAGATAGGAAGAACCATTTAAGGGTATTTTTGGAATTTACGGTATTTTTGAAACTTATTTTAAAGTTTTACGGTATTATTCAAACTTTTAAAAGTTTAATAATAAAGCATATTTTCATTAATTTATTCTATACTCGTGTATATAAAGTATATCGTGTGTAGTAGTATGATATATATTATTTTTGATATTAACTAATATTTAAGATAATGTTAACTAATTAATAAAAAATAAGAATTATATTAAATTGGTAAATCAGTATCAATCAATTAATTAACTATATTTAAAATAAAATAAAAAAAACAAAGGAATAAACGATGTCTCTAAAAATCCTATACCAAATATGAACATCACAAAGTCTCACCCATTCTCACCTCTCCTTGGCTTTATCCATAGTTTAGGTGGTCAACACCAAAGGCATCTGATTCTCAAAGAGAATGTGCAGCCAATCAGCGGTTGCCATTTGGCGGTTCGGACGGATGCGAGCAGCTAAAATAATCAACCAAATGGTCAACCAAATACACGAATATCGGTAGCCTACATGAGCTCCTTTCCCTAAGGTCAGAGGTTCAAATCCTTGTACCTTCGACTAAAAAAATGCAAACCGAACTCCTACACCTCATTGGCAGCGTTCTATCATATATCTTGATTCCCTTACGAGAGATTTCAAGTGCAGCCAATGTCCAGAGCATAATCCGAGCTGAAATGGCTATGATTATCCAGCTTAGGGAGGCTAAAACAACAGAGATTTGGAACTTTCGACATTCGTCCGTGGTACGAGTTTGTGTTCAAACTGCAGCCAATATCCAGAGCATAATCAGAGCTGAAATGGCTATGGTTATCCAGCTTAGGAAGGCTAAAACGACAGAGATTTGGAAGTTTCGACATTCGTCGCCAAAACTGCAGCGTCCTAAGTCACTGAAGAACAATACAGCTACCCCGCCCGAGGCGGAAGCTGCAGCTAGAGACAATGTTGCTGTCACCTGAAAACCAAGAACTGGATAAATGCTTGAACTTCCCTATAATCTAAAACAACTCAGAGTTTTGTAGGTGTTTTAGTGTCTCACCCAATCCCCAACTACAAAGAGGCTGACTAGAATAGGATTGTGAAGCATCTTCTTCCTTAACAAAGCATATGCATCTAACAATGCCAGCATAAAACTCCATGTCAGTTGCAGGCCCATCGACGCGATCACGTAGCTGAAAATCATGATTCAAGCACAAACTCGGAGTTTAATTCGTGTCGTATATCATCTCAAATTTGATAACTTTACATAAAATTCAGAGCTCGTATGGTATCAGAGGGCATCTCACAGTTTCTTCTATAACTATTTTCACTGATTTCTCAATGACTGTTTTATGAGTGGAAATGAAGAAGATAGTGTAACGGTCCAAACCCAATCCACTTTGGCCTGTTACTGTCTACTTCACGGTTTTAAAACGCGTCTACTAGGGAGAGGTTTTCACACAATTGTAAGGAGTGTTTTGTTCCCCACTCCAACCGATGTGGGATCTCACAATCCACCCCTCCTTGGAGGCCAACATCCTCACTAGCATACCACCCGGTGTCTGGCTCTGATACCATTTGTAACAGCCCAAGCCTAACACTAACAGATATCGTCCGCTTTAGCCCGTTATGTATCGCCGTCAGCCTCTTGGTTTTTAAAACGCGTCTACTAGGGAGACGTTTCCACACCCTTATAAGGAGTGCTTCGTTCCTCTCTCCAACCAATGTGGGATCTCATGATCCACTCCCTTTGCGTTCTCGCTAGCACACCGTCCAATGTCTGGCTTTGATAGCATTTATAACAGCCCAAGCTTACTTGCTAACAGATATTGTCCGCTTTGGCCCGTTACGTATCACCGTCAACCTCACGGTTTTTAAAAAGCATATACTAGGGAGAGGTTTCCACACCATTACAAGGGGTGCTTCGTTCCCCTCTCCAATCAATGTGGGATCTCACAATTCATCTCCTTGGGAGCCAGCATTCTCGTTGACACACTGCCCAATGTCTGGCTCTAATATCATTTGTAACAGCCCAAACCTACCGCTAAGAGATATTGTCCACTTTCACGTTTATTAAAACGTGCCTACTAGGGAGATGTTCCACACCCTTATAAAGAGTGCTTTGTTACCCTCTCCAACCAATGTGGGATCTCACAATCCACCCCTCTTAGGGGCCAGCATCCTCGCTACCACAACGTTAGTGTCTAGCTTTGATACCATTTGTAACAACCCAAGCCTATCCCTAACAGATATTGTCCATTTTGGTCCATTACGTATTGTCATTAGCCTCAAGGTTTTTATAACGTATCTACTAGGAAGAGGTTTCAGCACTCTTACAAAGAGTGCTTCATTCCCCTCTCCAACTATCGTGAGGAGAGTTCATGGCAAGAGCTGCCATAGGAGAGCTCAAATGGAGTGCTCTATTCAACTTATAGTTATCTTCAAACTTACAAAGCAGCAACCAAAAGCCATAACCAAAAGCAGCCAAATCAGTACTAAAAGGAAAGAATTAAACAGAGCAGCAGCATTCACTAAATACAATGCAAAATGAATACTAATCAAGCCAAAAGAAGATAAGGGGGAAGAATCAATAAATACCAAAAAGCAGTGAAGTTATAGAAGCCAACAGAGGTAGCCATGGAAGCAACAGCCCCAGCAGCAAAAGCACATTGCAAAACCCTCAACACAAGCCCAGTCAATGTCCCTGGAGTCCCAGCAAAATCCAACATGTTTTCCTCCAATTCTTCATCCACAATCCACAGAATACCCTCAAAACCCCACCATTTTCACAAAATCATGCCCCAAATCAACACCCAGAAACCCTAATCAGCAAAATCTAAACAGATCGTTCAATCAACGCCAGAAAACAGAGTAATGCGGATGTTGATGGCTTCTGGCTTATGGGTTTTGAAGCGATTATCAATCCTGGGTGCCACTGATCTTTGAAGAACGGAAATGGGGAGATAGAAAAGTAGAAGGAAAGTAAAAACGACAAATGAAAAGCCCTAAATGGCGATGTTCGGCGGCACGCGTTGATTGGTCCACCATATCCCCTGGGTTTTGGTGGGGTGTTGTCAATTTGGAATGGAAGAACAAATTGAAGGGAATTCTTTAAAATAATGGTATAAAAGAAGACAACCTTGGGGCTTATGAAACTTGTGGGCGAAGCACTCGAGACTGTCTGGATTTTGTTGCTTCAGCTTCACTTTTTGTTCATCTTTTTACTGTTTTTCTTATGATTGTTACGACTCTTAATTCATTTTGGCGTGTGTTAGAAGAATTAAATGCTTGGATCCAGTTTTAACAACTATTTTGTTTCCTCCTATGAAGAAACACTTGAATTACTTATCAAATGTTTGAATTTTGGCAGAAGATCGAGTTGTCAAAAGGGTGTGAGTTCATGGAACGGGAACCGTTGACATAGGAACGAGTAGCGTTGCCATCGAAAGTTCAAATATCTCATATACTCTCACTGCCTAATCTAAAGTTCAAATATTTCATTAAATGCTCATGAGCCGATACTCACACAGTAGGTAGACTGTCAACCCCATCACAAACAACAACAAGCTTCTTCATCGTAAAATATTTAAAACTACGAACTCGAGGAAAATTATTGTAACAACTTGTAACATATTCTAATTGAATTCAAAAAGACTTTACTTCATTCAATACACGAGTTAAGTTGGTTTTTATTATCATTTTAAAAAATACTACTTATCCACGTATATGTTTTATTAATAATTAAAATTTCATAAAACTCAAATATCAAACATTCATAAGTCACAACGCATCATTAACTGTGAGATCTCATGTCAACTGGAGAGAACAACAAAACATTTCTTACAAGGGTAGAGAAAGCTCTCCCTAGTAGACACGTTTTAAAACCATAAACCTGATGGCAATACGTAACAAGCAAAAACAAACCACATCTGCTAGCAGTAGACTTAGGCTTTTACAAATGGTATTAGAGATAGATATTGAACGATGTGTGCCATTGAAGACGCTGGCCTCTCAAGGGGGTGGATTATGAGACTCCACATCAGTTAGAGAGAAAAACAAAGCATTCTGTATAAGAGTCCGAAAACCTCTCCTAGTAAACGCATGAAAACCTATCTCTAGCAACCGTATTTTAAAAACCGTGAGACTAACGGCAATAAGTAACGAGCCAAATCCAACAATATCTATTAACGATGGACTTGACATAATAATTTTAAAAAGTAGGGTAGTAGGATAGTGTTGGTTGTAACTCTATTTTCGAGTTGCCCAACAAAAAAAATATCAACTCACCAACGGACCCAATTTTCAATTTTTCAAAAATTTAACCGAACCCGACGAAGTATATAACTTGGCTTTCAATGTCTCCCCTATTCCTTCCCTTTAAAGACAAGTCTTCCCATTTCCATCCCATTTCCATCCCATTCATTACAATCACACAACAAAACACATTGACGCTTCAAAATTATATGATAGAACTTTCATTACAATCACATAACCTCCAACCTCAAGAACATAAACCTCCAACCTCAAGAACATAGAAGAGTAACCAAAGCATATCACAGCCTCCAAAACAACAAAATGAAATGATCATATGAGTGTTCAGAGTTCCAAAAAGAGTCCTACAGAATAGATAAACATAACCCTCCTCTCCTTCATAATCTATGATGTTTTCGACTTCGGATTCTTCCTCGCGACTTGCTTCCTTGGGTACGAATTCTTCATACCGATGAAGAACAGCAACGCCCCCAACAATGCCAGATTCTGCATAATATCAATCACACAACCTTACGATCCATTCCGTATCTTAGCCCGAATCAATTTTGTATCTTTAGATTCACGAGTTATCACGTTTTTTCTTAATTTAGCTTGTATTAAGATACAACTATGATCTCAAGCTTCTGTAGTTAGGCCACTAAACAATCAGATTCATCATTCATGCTACATTCATTAGTTCAATTACCTGAGTGAATTTCACAAAAAGTTGGTTGAATTCCTTCTTCTCAACGTCGTAGTTGTAGAAATCGTACAAGATCGGTGCAGTTATGGCCTGATGCAAGATCTACCCAGCAAGAACATTCAACAATTCAAATTCAATTGTCTTTGGTGAACGAATGAATATTGGTTTTGTAAAATTTGATATCATATCATACCAGAAGAAAGGCTCCAATGGAGCTGTTGAAGATGAAGAGCAGGCTTCCAAGGCCCTTCAGCGCAATGGCACCAGCCACAACATGTAGGATCTGTTGAAAATGGATGGAAATTTAAAGAACAATCGCCATGAGAAACAATGAGAAACACCGTGAGCATTTCCTCACCTCAACTTTGGGGAAATCCAACCCAGTATGAGATTCAAAATTGCGAGAGAAAACGTTGAATTTTGGCTTCAGATACTTGGCCGCCGCTCCTCCATCGGTACCAAAATCATTGAATCTGAAGAACAAAAATGAAATCAAGATCCAAAACAGTTCATCCCCTGCAGAAACATTCCAGAGAGAAACAAACAGAGTCCAAATTTTCCAAGAACTAACACATAGTTCAAACAAAATAGAAAGACTCCCATCATTTCCACTCACAGATCTGAGCTCATAACAAGAAGAAACAACAGAATCTACCATGATTACATAACTGAAGAGGTTCATGAACTAAAACCCTAAATGAGGGGTTTTCAAATACACATTTAGAAGGTGACCCTACATCTGAAAATTCAAATTTCCAGTGAAGAAACCTCAGAATAGTAAAAAAAGCAACAAAATGGAGTAGATCTGAGTTGCTTACTCTTGCCAAGCAGAGAGAACGAAGACCGAGACGAAGAGAACTCTTCCGACAAACGAAACGAAAGCCATTTCCGTCACAAAAACAGCTCCGATTCCGACAGAGATTTCGAAACCGAAACAAAAGGAGAAGAAGAAGAACAGAAACTTCAAAAGAGAAAAACAGGGAAAGCTTTTCTTCTCTCGATGTCTGTAAAACTTCTCCTTTCGCCGCCTTCGGTTCTTCTTCTTCCCTCTTCACGCTCCTCTCTTAAACTCGGCGCTCGAAATAATCTCTTACAAGTTTCACTCGCGCGACTGTAGAATTCATCCATACTCGCTTCAAAAATTGACTGTGCTGACTACCCCTTGCCTCCACGTACTCCAACCAATCGTATTCGTTCAATTTGCAAGAAGCCAGCCACGTGGCAGTATGATTGAGCAACTTCATTTTTAATGCTACTTTTCCCATTTATTATGGATAAACTTAAAAAAAATTTATTAGACTAATTAATATAAAACTTTAAAACTTAAAATATTTAAATTAATAAAAATACCTTTAAAAAAATTTTATGGTCAATTTAGGTTCCACTCGAGAAACCCCTTAGCTACCTTCGTATTTGTAGATGGAATTCCGTTAATTTTGAATGAAAATGTTAACTTTTTTCCATTCAAAACGAAATATTTTAAAAAAATAAAAATATTTTTTGAACGCTTTTTAATTTAAGAGTATGATTGAAACTTAAGTAGAATATTTAAAATATTAATAATGGGAAGAATATGGCTAACTATATGGGGACAAAATGAAGAAAAAGATAATGGGAAAAATATTAATGATTTGATTTATGTAAAAGGCTTGTTTCCTTCCATTTTCTTCTTCTTTTATTATTATTATTATTTTTTTTGTTCAACTAACTATTATTTATTTTTTTAATATTAATTCATGCTATAATAGTCGTTTACTTTGTAATATAATAAATTAATACAAAACATTTTCGTTCGAATTGTTTTTTTAAAATAATATATTAAACGACATGTTTGGAAGTAATTTTAAAATAATTATAATTAATTTTATGATATTAAGATTACATTTAAAAATATAAAATTTTTAACGTTAAATTATATTTTAATGATTAAATACTTATTTTTTACTCGGAGCAATTCTATATTGAATAAATTTTTAATAATTTTTTTAAAGGGCACGTGAGTGATGACAAAATATACTGAAAATACTCATATTGTTATGAAAATAGTTTACGAAGCGAGAAGTAAATAATGTAGCTATGTAATTTTGAATACCGATTCAAATTCATTATTTTCATAACCCACGTTATTCATAAAATATATATATATATAGTGATTAAATCTAAGTTTGTAACATTTAAAATCTAAAAAAATAATATAAAATGAAAACGTTGGAAAAACAGGCCTTTAAAAAATGATGTCGACCAGCTATAAACACAAAGCACGTGATGCACGTGATCTGAGTAGCCGACCGAAACTTGTCGTTTTAGAACCCACAACTCCACAACTTCCTTTTCCTTTTTTTGTTCTTTTTCTTTTTCTATTATTTTATTAAATATATAAAATAAAAAAATTCGAATATTTAATTTTTAATTTGAAATTATATATCTCAATCAACCGAGTTATAGTCCAGATTGAACGTACGACCAAACATGTCGAGTTAAGATCTACTTGCATCTTTTTTATTATTAAATTATAAATTTTATTCCCGAACATTGTATTTGTATCTAACAAGTTCATAAATTTTAAAAAACATCCACGTACAATTTTGTATTTAGAATTTTAATTTTACGGCATTATAAAAAAATTAAAATTTATATTTAATATATTCATGAAATTTTTAAAACAAATCATATATTAGATACAAAATCAAACATGGAAAATATTTTCTTAAATTTCATTAATTTATGTGAAAATTTAAAATTTTATTATAAATTTTTTAAAAGCTCAAACATTTATTAAATACAATTACCCCCAACCATTTTAATTAAATTAAATATAAAAATTTAATAAATTAATTAAAACTTGCATTCCACTCAAGGTTTTAAAAAAATAATGTCCAATGGGTAGGTGAAGCCAAGTTGGATTGTTAAATAGCACACATTGAGTTGTTCTTCAAGTGTACTCAAATTTGTATCCATAATTATTTAATGCTCTTCAATAAGACCATTATAAAGATTTCAAGGACAGATCTCACCGTGTTTGTGATCATTGAATTAGATTGTACAAACTCAGATTCATTAGATACATATAAGAATTTACGTGAATCTTATACTATTGAGTAAGTACGAGAAGAAGATTAGTGTAATTAGATTGCGGGATGCTGAAGTGCTTTGATCGCAATAGCTAGTGTTGAGTTGATCACGCATGTGAGATCGTATATCAATTGGAGAGAGGAACAAAACATTTTTTTATAAGAGTATCGACCCCTACCAAATGCGTTTTAAAAATCTTGAAGAGAAACCCAGAAGGGAAAGGCTAAAGAGGACAATATCTGCTAGTGGTTGGGCTGTTACAAATTGTATTAGAGCTAGACATTAAGCAATGTGTTAGTGAAGAGGCTGAGCTCTTAAGGGAGGTGAATTGTGAGATTCCACATCGGTTCAAGAGAGGAACGGAACATTCCTTATAAGGGTGTGAAAAACTCTCCCTAATAGACACATTTTAAAACTACGAAGCTGATTATGATACGTAATGGGTCCAAATGAAAATAATTCTTCTAAATACTTGTAATTGAGCATCATTGCAACATTATATCCAATAGGGATTGATGGGGGCCGGGTAAAAGAAGAGTACATGAATTGATGGGGGCCGGGTAAAAGAAGAGTACATGAATTGATGGGGGCCGGGTAAAAGAAGAGTACATGAATTAATAAATACCACGTCTGAATGACGATAATCAGGAAATTTTGATGGTTAAAAAATCTTAAAGGAAATTGTCGTTATTACTTATATTAACGAGATTAAACACATAAATTTGTCGTTATTATTTATATTGAAATTAGAACCATTTGAACTTTCGACTTTGAGTGAACAAGTACAGGTCAATTATCATCGAGTTCCGTAAATAAATTATAATTATAAATAAGAAGAAAATCATGAATGAATATATAAATAAGTGAAGGTAATTTAATTTAATATAAATAAATAAATAATATATATATTAGCATTACTGTTTGGGCGTTTAATTTTACGATTTTAGGCTTCTCTTCTATAATTTGCGCCCCCGTTGGAGTTTATCGGAGCTCTGAGTTTCCGATCCCACAAGCGCCAAGGTTCAGATTAGCCCTTCGTTTTCTCTCTTTCTCTCTAAAATGGGGTTCTTCTCTTTCCTTGGAAGGGTCCTCTTTGCCTCGCTGTTCATCCTCTCCGCCTGGCAAATGTACTATCTCTTTCTCTCTTTACATTTTCAGATCGGACTGTATTATCTCTATGTTCTTTCAATCTGATTATTTTTGTTGTCTTCTACTGTAGATCTGCTAATTTTGATCGTATTTCTGTGTTTGTTTGTTCTTCTGATGATCGATTTTAGGGGTTTTGTAATCGGCGCTGTAGTGTGTGACTTTGTCTGTGTTTTCACTGATGTTTGACGATATTTGTCGCATTAGTTTTCCAATCGTAAAGATTATTGCTCTTTTTTTATGGGATTTAGTTTCTGATTGTTGATCTCGCCTTTTTTTTTACCATTGTGGACGGTTTGAATGTGCTTTTTGAAATCAGGAGTGCAGGTTTTTCGGAAATGGAAGGGGATTAAGGGTTAAGCAGAGTTTAGTTTTTTGTATTAGTGAGGAATGGAGAGTTTTTACCAATTTTTCTTCGCTGGATATTGACCTATCGCTTCTTGAGATTAGATTTGGAATGTTGGACGTTGTGATGAATTCTTAAGAAGCTGTATTTTTAGTTGATTCCTGAGGACCCACTTCACTTTTGGGTCATTCTTAATATTTGATTCATTTAAATTATGCATCATTGTGATAATTTGTTTTCAAGCTTAGTGGCTTGATAGAAGGAAATTATCAGATTGTTTTAGGTTCTTGATTTCTTTTTCTTTTTGTGTGTTTTCAACGAGATGGAACTTTCTAAGTCCTTTTCTAGGAATCAACCTTAATTAAGAAAACAGGTCGAAAAGGTTTTCAAATTTCATCTTTCAGGCAATACAAGTGCAGTTTTGCTTAACTTGTATTAGATAGATTTGCATTTTGCTTATTTCTACGCTCTGTGATTTGAAGATTGGATCGGGTCTTCTTCTTCATTGTGAAAAAGTTAATCGAGTCGAACCTTACTCGGGCGATCATGAAAAATTAGAATATAAAGGAAATGTAATACGTCCAACATACAATGAAATGAAGGATTTCTATGTTGTCTTCTTGTTTCTTGTTAAATTCTAATGTGCTTGTAAATATTGTTTTCTATCATTCGGTTTCTAGGCCATAATCATTTTGTAGGAGAGATGACCGAGTAGTTGTAGGCGTAGCATTGGGACTGCTGTGTAGGTTTTTGTTAGGAAAACAATTCTATTAGATCTTCTCGGTAAAACAGATCAAACTTATTATTATCAAAATGATTTGAACAGGCTTTTTAGCCTCTTTAGGGGTTATTACTTCCTTGGTAGCTCAACACATGTATTCTTTATCTGCTTATGCAAAACTCATGGCTAATGACTTGGCTGGGTTCTATGCTCTCCGGCCTCATGTTAAGTTACATACATGAGGAATAAGATCGGACTTTCAAGTTTGTGTTTATGTTGACCTCGATAAGGCGTCTATTGTTAGGTTCAATGAATTTGGCACTGATGGTGGACCTGCTGCAAAGGAACTCATTCCGAAGATGTACACTCTTAGGAGAAACGTCTCCGCTCGATTTGGATTCTACCTACCCGTTATCGACGTGAGTTTCAGTTCTTCTGTGGATTGAACTGCTGAACCTTCATACCCTTTTTTCATTTGTACTCAGATTATGAGTTTGTTCTACAGGTTTCCCATTTAGTTGCTGCGTTTTTGTCTCTTAAAGGCATTGGTGGCCTTCTCTTTGTATTTGGGAGTCCAATTGGAGCTTATCTTCTGGTAGAATTTGCTTTGCCTCCTTTTGTTGATGCCTTTATTACTTCAAGTTACTTTCAGTTTGTTCTTATTCCCCATTATAGCAGCCAAGCTTGTTTGTTTGTGCAGCTTCTCTACTTGGCCATTAGTACACCAATTCTGTATGATTTTTTCAACTATGGTCGTGACAAGTCCCAATTCAGTATACTAATGAATGATTTCTTACTGGTGAGTTGAGCAAATTTGTTTGCACTAAGCCAATTCATTCGTGTTCTTGCAAACGTCATATATTTCGTTTTTCTTTTTCGATTTGCAGCACGTGGCACTTGCTGGTGCATTGCTCTTCTTCATTGGAACGAAGAACTCGATTTCGAGGAGGCAACAGAAGAAGAAGGCACACAAAGCCAAAACGAACTAGAAATGTAAGACAAGCCATTTCTTTAACTCGAAATCGTACCATTCCTTTCCATTCCCTTCACTCGGGTTGGGGCTCGGATCGAAAAGCGTCTTATTTAATAATCCTTTTTGTGATGATAGATTTACTCATTTAGGAATTTCAGTTCTCTATTGACTGTCGAATGTTGTTGTTGGAGTTCATTACAGTCAAATGTGAAGGGATTTAGACACATGTTCTTCTCCATTCAAACTGTTTGCAGAGGATTAGAATCTTTTATTCAATTAACCTTATTTGTAGAACTATATGTTGATGTGCATCTTTTTGGATGTTGATAATTTTTCTGGAGAATCATCTAACCATATTTTGAATAATCTTGGAAGTCTCGTATCAACGAACATGCTTTCGAATCGAACCATCATTTACGATCTCTGCAATCATTTTGATTTCTAGCATGTCTGCCATTCATTAGGAATCTATCATCCATTTATCTGTGAGATTGAAGTGTAGGAATAGTTTCTGATCCTCGTGAAGCTCTCCATTCTCTGATTTGTCTTTGAAAAGTTCATAAACTTTAATCGTGTTTCTACTACCGACAAAATAGTGATATGATGGTTAGAAATGTTACTCGATATGAGTCAATATTCTTTTCAAGGTCAGATATCGAGTCAATCAAGTCTGAATATGAGCAAAATCGAAACTTAAACTATGAGTCGGGTTAGGTTGGGTCGAAGATTCGTCTAGGTTAGAATAGAGTCATACTTTCAAAGGTAGAGATGGTTTGGTTCTTGGAACTTGTAGGTGAATGTATCGGTTTAGACGTTCCAAGTTCGAGCTTTTGAGTGAGCTCAATATAAAAAATTCTTGATATCTCTCGAGTATGTATCTTGGGGTGGGTGTGACGTATGTGACGTAGATTTATGTTAATAAAACGATTTATAAGATTTACTTAAATTAGTAATTAAGTTGTGACATCTAAATTACGTTTTATAATTAGGGCCAAGGAGCAATTTGCAAATCACTTGAAAATTAAGGACCATTTGGAATATTTAACTTTTTTTTTGGATTTCTTTTTCAAAATTATTCCTGGCCTGTGGTGTTCCGATCAACAAATATCCGCCATACACGTGTACTCTTATCTCAACTTTTTCAGAGGTTCACGTTTGACCACGTCCGTTAATGTGTAACGTCAAGATATATAACACCGTCGTTACCGACAAGTCAATTTGATACCACGTCGGATTCCTGCCTGTCACAGCCATACTCTCATGCCACCCTTGTCTGCCACGTGTTTAATCTGTCTCGCATTGCAATTATTACTTAATTATTACTCAACTCTAATTATTAAATTCCATAAATATTTTTAAAGGGAGGGGAAATAGAAAAATACGAATAAATATTTTTGTTTGAATTTTTAGTATTGGTTGAGAATTTGAATAAAGTTTTTCAACCAAAAAATAAAATTGGTCAAAAGCAAAGATGGGAATCCCTTGTGTTCTATGCCCACATTTTATTCCTTTAAACAAAAACATCAAGTTAAGAATATCTCCTTGTTTCTAGATTTTTCCACTCTCATTATCCACATGGGACTTTATTACAATCTTTTTCAAAAATGTTAGAAACCCATATAAATAAATAAATACATCATGTGGTTCTTGTTGCAGCTTTTTGAATGCCTAATAAGGCGAGATTTTACATCGATTTAAAGGTGTGGAAATCTCTCTCTAACCGACGTGTTTTAGAACTTTGAGGGAAAGCCCTTGAAAAGATCATATCTCCCAGCAGGAGAGAGAAAGACACAGAAGAAAAAACAATATCTACTCGGTGTGACAAAAAAAGGACACAAAAAAGGACAATGTCAAGAAAACTTGAAAGCCCAAGAAGAACAATATCTACTAACAAAAACCTAAAAATGACAATATCTTCCAGCAAAAACAAAAAAAAAAACTATGATAGAAAACCTTGAAGGGAAAGTAAAAAAAGGACAATGACAGGAAACCCTTGAAGGGAAAGCCCAAAAAAACAAAATCTACTGGAAAGCTCAAGAAGGACAATATTGCTAGCGGAGACAAAAAAGAACAATATGTTCGAGCAGAAAAAAAGCAAAACAACCCTTGAACAAAAAGATCGGCTAGTATTCGAACGAATCTTTGATTAGTTCACGTTGAACTAAAAAAGATGCCATTTTTTATTCCTTCAAACACAAAATATGAAATAAACTTAAAAAGTTACAAAAGTTGAAAAGAAGTGAAGCACTAAATGTTGCATCCCACATGCCCATGCCGATGCCTCGATGCCCCCTTTATAATTACCTCTCCATCTCTTCCTCATCCTTATCTTCTTCTTCCCCTTTAACCCTCAAATTCCCTCTCCCTTCCCTCATGGCTGATTCACACAGACGAACCTCCACTCCCGCCGGTGCCTCTCGCCGCCATCCGCCGCCGCAGCAGCAGCCAGGCTGCTTCCGGAGCCGGGCGCCAGCGTCCCTGCAAATCAACCGCCCCGATTGGAAGGTCGCCATCCCTCTCTTGACCCCGCTCGTCTCCCCATCCTCACCCAAAGAGATACAAACTTGGGCGCCTAATTCCGGCGAAGGATCCTCCAATTCTTCAAATCATAAAGAATCGGAGCCGGAGAAGCCGCCGGTTTTTAAGAAATGGCAGCATCCGGCGGCCCCTTTTCAGTACGATTCCGGCCCTATGGATCCCAGATTCATCCCTGCTTAGATTTTTTGTTGTTTTTGTTCTAATAAACTCTTCGATCTATGAAATTTGAATGCCAATGAAAATTGTAATTATTATTATTATTTTTTAGTGATTGAAGTGATTGAAGAGAGATGGAAATATGATGAATGATTGGGATATCATTAATTACTTTTTCAATGCGTTGAACATTAATCATTTCACAATCATTGTGACCAGTAAATTAATATCGCATAAAATTTATAATTTAAGATGAGCATGTATGTAACTTCATTGCTTGCTTGAACACGTTTATTAAGAATTGACCTGTGTGCCATTTCTGCATACCGGGTTCAACAATGTTGACAAAATGAATATCGATTTCAGCTCACGGGATGGAGCACAGTGTTGTTACACTCATGCCATTGGACATTGTGCACCACGACACACGGATGTGCAGTGGGGTAGCTCACTCAAAGCCATTGGGCCAAGGAGTCGTCTGGTGTCTAATTGACACCAAGCTTGGTGAATTTTCATGTTTCACTTATAATAACTAAACTTCAAAGCCGCTTCTCGAAACTCACATTGGAACCCTGACTTTTGAGGATACGGCCTGGGTTTTATCCAACCTTTTTTAAGCTTGTCTCTAACACTCTCGAAAACATTGTTACTCATGATCTTAGTTCTATCTTAGCTTGACTATCATCCACACTCCTTTTGGTGTGTTAAGATGATGCACCGTCCTCCTCTATCGCATTACAACACTTGTCTTTCTCAACACTCACATAGCAGGATGGATGTCACTCCCATATTTCATTTTAACAAACTACACATAGAGTTACAACCTACTCTCTTCTTAATAAGACTGTGACACCATACCCATAACTACTCGTACAAGATGATATTCTTAACATATTAGATATAGATGGGTTGGCTACCCACTATGTTGAGGTGTGACACAGTGATGTAATGTGGTGGCCAAACACAAACTATTCACGTATTTATCAGATATGTTTAAGATATTGATACGATTTGAATCGTCAATATTCAAAATTAAGGGAAAAGGACGACAAAAAAAAAAATCTGAATTTTCTTTTTAATTTTAAACTATAGAACAACATAAATATTCATAATTTTAATTTCAGCTTCTAAGTAAAATGGCCCCTTAAGATGTCCCAATTTGAACAATGTATTGTTTGGCCCATATTTTCTTCATAGAAACCTCCCCTCCTTCCTCCACCGACCCGAGAAAATTCGATCAACTCAATTTAATCCGTACATTTTATGTTGAATTATCAATTTATTTGAACTGGGTCGGGTTCAAATAAATAAAAATTTATGAATTGAATTGATGCATGATTTTCTTAAAATTAGTTCGTATTGAGCTAAACAAACCCATAAATTATATACAAGAAAAAAAAAATTCAACTCAATCCAAATATTTTACAATTGGTTTGGGTTGGGTTTATTGGGTTCATTATCCAATAATAATTACTCGAGTTGAAAAAATTTACAACCCAAATAACTAAGTTGAGCTTAACAAATGTATCAACTCAACCCACAAACACCTATAATGTTAATAAGCGACAGAACACTCTATTAGATAAAATTTAGATAAATGACACGATCGACTAATTACTTAGATGATGATATAAAAAACAGAACAAGAGTCGGGTTGAGTTAGTCGAGTTAAAAGTGGTTGATACCAAAGAGAAAGCTACAAACACAAAATCACAACTTGTAAGTTGTAAACATATTCCCCCAAACTACAAACTATTGAGAACCAAGTTGTTGCCCATATATTCTCCAAACACAACCTTCCTTGCTTCTTAAAATGCAAATAAGGGTCGAATAATCTATTTTTACGTCCGAATTCTATCAATACGAGACCTAAACGTTCTCAGTTTCATCGAAATCAGATACTAAACTTAAAGAATCGTTGCTTGTTTTAAAAAAATGTTGTCGTTTTTACTCTCAATTAATTAATATAAAAGATTGATATAAATATTATTTATTTTCTTTTATTAGGTGAACCTAAAATGTTTAGATATGGATTAGTTTAACCAAATTCCAATTTTTTATATAATTAAATTAAAAATAAATTAAGTTGGACAAATCAATTGAAAATTTTGATTACTTGTCAATTTGTTTATATTTTTTTGGATTTACACCAACAACCAATCACGAACTAACACGTGTATGATTGAGAATAATATATTTGATGATGATAATTTAATTAAAATATCTTATAAGAATAAAATTAATCGATAATAATTCTACTTACATTATTAGTAAAAATCAAATGATTAGCATATGATCTCGACTAGGATTTGGAATTTGAATTCAGCTCTTAATAGCTCCAACGTTATGTTACGACATAACCCAACAAGCCAACACAAGTTTTTCTAGCATGTTTTGTCTTCAATTGCTTTCTACGACAATTTCTCGAAAATTTAAAAAAAAAAAACGTTTAACTTTGAAATTCTTACGATTGAGCCATTGAAAAGAAATATACTCTTTTGAACATTTTTTAACTATCATATCCTCGGGATCACCCTTTTTCAGATATGATTTCATACTCAAACGTCACATCTACCTTTAAATATAACTTTAATGGTCGAGATATGATGGAGAATACGTTATTCCGATAATGATTTTTACGCAATAATATCATCTTATCAAATCAATCATAGTGGAAAAACAAAAGGAGAGACACAAAAATTGAAAGGCTGAAGATGAAAAAGAAGTTTGTTTGGTCCCTTTCCTCTTTCTCTAAAGGGACACCCATTTCAATAATGATTCTTTTGCTTCAAACTCTTTGCATTCAATTGCATGCTTGCAAACCCACTCTTATTACGAATTTGCCCTTTTCTCTTTCTCGATTTCTCGAGTTTTTTGCGTAATTTTTCTTCTAATTTCTTAGCCGTTTATCTGTTTATTCGAACATTTTAGTAGTGTAGTGTAATGGATTAAGTCCATCGCGCTTTGACCTATTACGTATCGCTGTTTGAAACACATCTATTAAGGAGAAGTTTCCCTACCGTATAAAAAAATGTTTAATTTCCTTTTCTCGTCACGACCCACTTTCTTTTTGTCACTATTTGGTTGCTATTTTGCTAGAAAAAAAAATATATTTATTTCCAAAAAAAATACCTAATCCCACTAAATTTCTCCACTTTTGACCAAATTTCTCTCTTACTATTATTATTTTAATTTTTTTTTTTAGTCAATAGTTAATATAAATCCCAATCAAAGCCTTTGACATATTAGATTTTTTTTTAATTTTATAATTTTTTCCCCTTTTGGGTTCCATATTAATCAACAAGGCAATCTTCACTCTTAAAAAGAAAGAAGTAGGTAACGTAATCTTGTCACGAGAGAATGTTGAGGTATCAAACACTAATCTAAATTCCAAATCTTGGATATGGATCGTTATAAATGGTAGGAGACATTCGACAAAATTGGAATGCCTGGAGAAGATTAGCACGGTCCCTGCACAAAGGTGACCAGTATAAATCGAAAAATAATTCAAATCATGGACATGGGTTGTTGTTCTCGAAACTTGCAATGAATTAAAACTTTAAAAAGTGGAAATGGTTGGAATAGTTGAACAAGATCATTCACTTTCCAATGGTTAACTCCTCGTTAATCAAAGTCATAAAGATATAAAGATTCATCCTTCAAAAAAGAAAAGTAGTCACCTTTACTCAAACAATCATCCAAATTATCAAATAAACTTTGAGAAATGGATGAAATAAAAATACGATAATGTTATGAATTTAAAAGGAAAGGGGGCGCAAGTGATCTACAAATCCTCTGTTTTTCCTTTTCAAATCCACAAATTGGAAGAATTTTCAAAAAAGAAGTCAAAAGTACGAACCGAATCGCTAAAATTCACAACAAAAACAATCACACACAGCTGGGTTTTGCTTTGTTTTCTCAATGAGGAGCTCCGCGCCGCCCTTCGAGCTCAGAATTAATGCGACCCCATGAGTTATTTTCCACTCCCCAACTGTTCGATTGTTCTAATTTGTTGTTCTTCAGATTTTCAGGTCACTTGGGTTCACCTTAATTTCTTCGAGCTTTTGAAGATTACTCTTCGTGGGTCGATTTCTTCTGGGTTTTCATTGATACCCAGATCTTGAAGAGGAGCAATGGTTGCAGAGCCTTGGATTGTCAAAATGGGTAACCAGGTTAGCGCTAATCTCAAACAAGCCCTCCTCGAGCCTTCTAAGAACAAGAACAATGGCAATAATAAGCAAACAATCGGTATTCTTTCTTTTGAGGTTGCTAATATAATGTCCAAAACGATTTACCTTCATAAATCTCTGTCTGATTCTGCCATTTCTAAGCTCAAGAACGAGATCTTGAGCTCCGATGGTGTTAAAAACCTTGTCTCTTCTGATGATGTTCATCTTCTTGAGCTTGTGGTTCTTGAGAAGCTTGAGGATTTGAACCGTGTGGCTAATGTGGTATCTAGGTTTGGTAGGAAGTGTTCTCAACCTGCGCTACAAGGGTTTAAACATGTGTATTTGGATATCATTAATGGAGCTATAAATGTGAAGGAATTGGGGTTTTTGGTTAAGGATATGGAGGGGATGATGAGGAAAATGGAGAGGTTTGTGAATGTTACAGCGAATTTGTACACTGAAATGGAGGTTTTGAATGAATTAGAACAGGCTGCTAAGAAGTTTCAGAACAATCAGCATGAACAAACTAGAAAAGCTTATGAACAGAAACTCTTATGGCAAAAACAGGACGTGGGGCATTTGAAGGAGATTTCTTTATGGAATCAAACGTTTGATAAGGTTGTTGAATTGCTTGTAAGAACTGTTTGTACGGTTTATGCGAGGATTCATCATGTTCGGATCGATGCAGAGTCGATGGAATCGAAACGTGTGTTCATTGAAAGAGGCCATGGAGCGAGACGTGGGTCGAGTTTCAAATCTCAAGTTAGCTCGAAAAGAAGCGAGGTTCCATTGTTTGATGACTTCAATTTTCCTTGTGGAACGAATCCCGGGAGGGTTCTTATGGATTGCCTTAGTTTAAGTAGTTCTGGGGATGAGGATAGTTATGTCGACCACGACGATCTGAGCTGCCAACGCTCTGGTCGTAGCATTAGGAACAGTGGCTCCAGTCAGGTGCAGTTCTCTGTTCCATTTGGAGTGGATTTAAGACAAGCAAACAATGGAGGAAACTTCGGGTTCAAGAGTAGGTTATTATCGGTCTATGCACCGGTTTCGACTGTCGGAGGCTCGGCTCTTGCTTTACATTATGCAAATATCATCATTGTTATAGAGAAATTGCTTCGTTATCCTCATTTAGTTGGCGACGAAGCTCGGGACGATTTGTATGAGATGCTACCAACAAGTTTAAGATCATCCCTGAAAACACATTTGAAGTCTTATGTTAAGAACATGGCTATATATGATGCTCCTCTTGCCCATGATTGGAAGGAGACACTCGATGGGATCTTGAGCTGGCTCGCTCCGTTGGCACACAACATGATTCGATGGCAAACCGAGCGTAATTTTGAGCAACATCAGATCGTGACTCGAACGAATGTCTTGCTGATCCAAACTTTGTACTTTGCCGATCGAAAGAAGACCGAGGAAGCCATATGTGAGCTTCTTGTTGGATTGAATTACATATGTCGCTACGAGCATCAGCAAAATGCATTGCTCGATTGTGCGAGTAGTTTCGACTTTGAAGATTGTATGGAGTGGCAGTTGCAATGTAAAGCTTCGTATCTTACTTGACGATGACGGTACAGGCGTCGTCGATATTTGTTTATTTCCTTATTGTACAGTGCATTTAGAGCAGTGATTGTTCAATAGAATTGTGAATACTGAGCAGCTTTAGAACACAGAAAGGCATGATTGATGGGGCACTTTGATTCGGCATGCTTGCTTTTGAGAGGTATGAAAGTTCAATCCATATTACTCATTTGAATCCTTCATGAAATGAAATATATACCTTCAAAACGTTGCTATTTGAAACGACTTTCTAAGTGATTCGTAACCGCCTAAGCCCGTTGCTAGTAGATATTGTCCTCTTTGGGCTTTTCCTTTCGGCCTTCCCCTCTAAGTTTTAAAAACGCGTCTTCTATGGATGTGGGATCTCACAATCCACTGCCCTTCGAGATTAGTGCCTTTGCTGGCACTCGTTCCCTTCTCCAATCGATGTGGGACCTCCCAATCCACCCTACTTCGGGGCCCAGCGTCCTTGTTGGTGTTGGATGATGAAAGTCCCAAATCGGCTAATTTAGGGAATGATCATGGGTTTATAATCAAGGAATACACTCTCCATTGGTATGAGGGATTTTGGGGAAGTCTAAAGCAAAGCCATGAGAGCTCATGCTCAAAGTGGACAATATCATATTATTGTGGAGAGTCGTGTTTGTCTAACAGTTGGCACACCGCCTCGTGTCCACCCTCCTTTGGGGCTTTGCTTCCTTGCTAGCACATCTCCTGGTGTCTAGCTCTGATACTATTTATAACAGTTCAAGCCCACCGTTACTAGATATTGTCTTCTCTAAAGATGTTACATTGCTTGGTGTTGTTGTGGAGTGCTTTTTGTTGCGTCTTAAACTTAGAACCTGTACAAAATTATGTATTAATCAGCAGGAAAGTTCTCATTTCAGGTGGAAAATCTCTGTTTTCCTGCACCAAGTAATTAAGCTGAGCTGAATCCTTCAAATGAAGATGAAAAAAAAGGGAATTTGGTGCTTTCTCTTGGCTATATGGTTCGTCCGGGGGAGAGATCGAGCTCACTTATGTTCATAGATCTACGGTTAGCCATCGTCCTTGCCCCGTCCCACAACTCGTATTTTCTTTTTTTAGTGGTTATAATTTAAATATAAAATTGTAGCCTGATGTATTTAAATCACAACCATATTTATATCACGCCAAATCAATGGATGAAATATATTTTTTATACAACATTCCTGCATAACTGTGAGATCCCACATCGGTTGGGGAGGGGAACAAAACATTTTTTACAAGGGTGTGGAAACCTCTCTCTCTAATAGATGCGTTTTAAAACTGTGAAGCTAGCGACGATACGTAACGGGCTAAAGTAAACAATGTTTATGTGATTATCTTCTGCAATATAATCAAACAAGTGAAAGGTTAACAAGATTTACACGAACCCGTCTTCATTTTTTAGCATATAGTAAATGCGTTGTAAAATTGTGAGACTAACGACAATACGTAACGTGACAAAAAGAACTTTCTAATAACAAATAAAATATGACATCTATAATGTACAAAAAAATTGTTTAAGGAGACTGTTCTAATATGGATCGATATTTCTTATCCAACGAAATATTTTGAGTTCATATAAAAATAAATTGTTAGACGAACATGCATTAAATGATTATTAAGAGACAATTATATTATAATTATATTATAAAATTATTGAAGAAACATGTTCAAAATTGTGTATAAATAACGTCATAGTTCCATTCATTTCCCAATTTAAATGCTTTTTTTTCCCTTCAAATTTTCGGTTTTTCTCAGTGTTTTAAAATTTTCCACTAATCTGGCTAATTCTAATCCGTGGTGGGCTAGTCGGGTGGGCTTTCCGGCCACCGACCCGGTTTCTACCACCGTCGGCGGCTGCGGAACAGAGCACGACAACGATGAAGACGAGCTGAAGGAAGGTAGCGTGCTGGTTGGGAACCGCCGAACGAGAGGGCGGCCACCGGGAGCGAAGAACAAACCAAAACCCCCAATCATCGTCACGCGGGACAGTCCTCACGCGCTTCGCACGCACGTGATCGAGATCGCCGGAGGAGCCGACGTGGCGGACAGCATAAACCAATTCTCCAGCCGCCGACAACGTGGGGTTTGTGTTCTCAGCGGAAACGGCACGGTTGCCGACGTGACTCTCCGGCAATCCGCCACCGTGATCCAACTTCACGGCCTGTTCGATATTCTATCACTGAGCGGCTCTTTTCTTCCCGGTCCAGCCATCCCCTGTTCCACTAGACTGACCGTGTACCTCGCCGGTGGTCAAGGGCAGGTGGTCGGAGGGACAGTGGTGGGCCCTTTGTTGGCAGCTGGGCCTGTCATTTTGATAGCTGCTACTTTTGCTAATGCAATTTATGAGAGATTGCCTTTACAAGACGACCATGATTACCAACAAACAGAGGTTTCTCCGGCCGCTATAGATGGCGGAGAAGTGGAGGAGCCGCCGCTTCCGCCGCCGTATCCCCGGACGACAACTTCAATTTATGACTTGATGACACCAAATAATGATCATGAAATGGGAATTGATAAGGTTTGGTTGGGCTCAGCTTAGTTTATAATTGTATAAAAAAAAAAAGTATTTTTTTTTTCATATTGTATCGTATTGCATTTGAATTTAATTTGATTTGATTTTCCTTATAATATTAATTTCTTAAAATTGATTTTCTAACTAATTTTAAAACTCTCTCGGGCCCAGCAATATTTTCTAAGGAATGGGACTTGAGGCTTGAGCATACGTCGTCCGTGCCAATGATAACCCAAATTCTTGTTGGCTGACTTACTCGAGGGTGAGAGTGAGTATAGTATTATCGTGTTACGAGTCATGATAGTTGATTGAAGTATTAATACAGTTAGGACTTACTAAAACTGATTAGTCTAAGCTTTTGGATAAAAATATGATCTAAGTTACCGAAAATTTAATCGAGTTGGAAAAAAAATGTTATATGAAATACAATTGAATAGGTTAAATAATGTAGCTGAAATTTCAACGAGAAAGTTAGGAATTTGTCTTACCCAAATAAATAAAGGAAAAAGTTGGAGTTTTTTTTTGTCGGGTTCATCAAAATTAGAAAAATAGGACACCCAATTGAAGAGTGGAGCCACATAATTGAGGTGTCTTGTGACAACGAAATGGACAAAGACCCTCAATTGCCGTTTCAAGGAAGAAAAACACAAGCAAGAACAAAGTCCTATATGCTTTTAGGGCAAATTCATAGATTAAACATTATTGGTCGATAGTTTCATTTCGTGAGATCTCACATCAGTTGGAAAGGGGAATGACATTTCTTATAAGAGTGTGGAAACATTTCTCTATTCAACGCATTTTAAAACCGTGAAGCTAACGACGATATGTAATGGATCAAAACGGACAATATCTGCTAGCATCGTGTCTAGGCTGTTACAAATAGTATTAGACCCAGACACGGGGCAATGTACAGCGAGGACGCTCGGCCCTAATGGGGTGAATTGCGAGATCCCATATCGGTTGAAGAGGAAAACAAAATATTTCTTATTATAAGTAGGTAGAAAACTCTCCTTAGTAGACGTATTTTAAAATGTGAAGGTAATGACGATATTTAACGAAATAAAAGTAAATAATATATGCTAGTGGTGGACTTGAACTATTACACATTCTTATATTCGTCCAAGATTAGTCAAGATTGAAGGATGGAAAAGGGGCATTCACATGCGAAACAACGAGATCGATGGGGGGAAACCATTATGACTTATTTGTTTGTTTAGTGAATTAACAAAGTTAGAATTAAGTTGGATTTGGATTGTTCTTCTTTTTGTTGTCCAAAGCCATTGATTTCCCTTTTGAATAATTGATGAATTTGGGTAAGAAAGAGAACCCACCAAACCCTAATATGCATTTTTATTATTGAATGCACCCATCACAATTTACCCCTTTTAAACTCATTTCAAGTGGGAAACAAGGAGCTTTTCGCCATTGATGGGACACCATCTTAACCAAATTTTTCTACTCCCGATCTGACAAAAACAAAATATTTCTTATAATGTAGTTGAAACTTTTCTCTAGTAGATGCGTTTTAAAATTGTAAGACTGAGACGATATATAACAGATCAAAATGAACAATATCTACAAGTAGTGAACTTGGTATGGTTGGTGTTCCGACGAAGACGAAAAACGCTATGGAAGATGGGTTAATTCAAAGTAAATGAAAGTAAGCCCATGAATGTGGTTGGTGTTCTAGTGGGATGCATCCTTAATTTCTCTTAGAACGATTTAATTCTCCTAATCCTTTTAAGTTTTAACGATAAGTTTATAAATTTTCAATTTTGTAACTCATAAGTCTATATCATTAGTACGATGAATTACTTCAACGGCTTACACTACCAAATATCTAAACTCGTAGCGTAATTTTTAATCTATATAATTAATATTCTATGTCGGTGTAATAGTGAAGAAATTTTAAAGTATATAGATTAAATGGACACGATAGTGAAAGCGACGAATTTATAATCTTCTACCCTAATAAAAACGGTCGCCTTAACTATTGCCTAAACGCGTTAGACACAATTTAATCCTAACAAAATTTAGGAATTAAACTTAGCCTATAATGATATAATTAAAAAGAAAATTCGAAGAGACAAAGAAGGCCCACATCGGATGTGGACAAACCGACACGTGTCTCGAAATTGGTTTCCTTACTATTTTGTCGGTCTTCTTTACCCCTCCGTCAAACACGGCCTATTTTGTCTTTTTCCTTAAAAATGATTCCACCGGAAATACAAAAAAACAAAAAAGGTTGCACCAGCCAGGAATCGAACCCGGGTCTGTACCTGTTAGTGCTTATCATTAGTTGATAAAGAATAAAATAAAAATTTAAATTAAATTTAAAGAATATGGATGCAAAATCGGTCATGTATCTAACTAGTACTTTATTATTAGGGTTTTTATGAATTTTTGAGTTCTCATCGATAAGACCTAAACCAACCTAACTCGTAACTAGCGTTGATTTCTTACGAGTACAAGAAAAAGAAAAACCATAAAAGTAACTCGAACATGTATCTAAGTAGTACTATATTAGGGTTTATGCAAAATTTTGAATATACATCCAAAAGTTCTCGTTAACGAGACCCAAACAAGCCCCTATTCTATCTTTACTATACGCACCAAAAGGAAAAACGAGCAATATGACCTAAGAATCCGCAAACTTGATTAATTTACATCGACCATCATCCGAAGATTTGCATCAATGCTTGGACATCCTCTTCCTTTTCTCCTCCTTCTGGTTCTGGTTCTCTTGGTCCTTCTTCTTCTTCTCGTTCGGGTTGTTGTTCTGGTTCAGGTTCTGGTTCGGGTTCATACTCTTCTTGTTCTTGTTCCTCGTCAGAATCGGGAAGTTTAAGCTTCAAAAGCTCAAAATTAAGCTCTAATTGAAAGCTTTTTTCTTTCTCAGCAGCCAACTCATCCTCCAATCTCTTAATTTGCTTAACCATTTCCAAATCCTTATCATGCATAAAGCCACAATGATTCATCAACATAGAAACCATTTCCTTTTGTGTATCAATATTATCAAGCAACGAAGACAACAACGTCGCCAACGTTTCAGTATCCATAGCTTGATCAACCTCCTTCTTCTTCTCATCACTACTCCCACCATGCATCAAAGATTTCATATCAAATTTATTACATTGTTCTTGTTCTTTATAAGAAAACACCGTCTCCCCACGAAACCTAACCCTTTTCCCAAATGATTCCTCATCAGGCTCCAATTCAAACAAGAAATTATTATAATCCCATCCCGTAATCCTCAAAACCTTCCCACCACCTTGACTACTCTCACCCAATTGCACCTCGTTCTTCATCAAATCAATGATTCTATCCTTATCTTGCTCAAACATCTCCCCAATTCCCACCATTCCTTTAGCAATACTCTTGAACAAAAAATTTGAATTTTCCCCTTTCTTCACGAATGGATGATCCAATAAACTCAATGCCGAAGCTCTTGCAAATCGATCTTTAGCTAAACATGAACCCACAAAATGCTTCAATGTATCACCAAATTTCCTTGGAACAACGCTCTTCCCTGATCGATTATCCAAATTCAAATCATAAGGAAATCGCCTAGAAATCTTGGAGAATTGCGCTTTGATTACCTTTTGATCATAAATTGGAGGACACCCATATGCAATTTCCATAGCTAAAATCCCCACCGACCATACATCTGATTTGAAACTATAATCCTCCTCCGGTGGATCCCAATACGGCACCGATGAACAATCTTTCTTCATCTCCTTTGAAACGTCCAAATCTGATAGCAATACACACCCATGAGTATCAAAAAAGATATTGCTTGCTTTCACGGCTTTATGAACCAACCCCTTTTCATGTAGAAAAACCAATGCACGGAGGAGTTGGTTGATAAGAATTGACATGAATTGATCCGGTAAGCCGGTTCGGAATCGTTGGGAGATTATGGCTTGTAGAGGGCCGGCGGGGATGAATGGCATTACGATCCATAGGCGCCCGTCGGGAGCGGTGAAGCAACAATGAGGGGTCAGGATATGTGGGTGGTTGATGAAGGAGAGATTTGTGTTGATGTTCGTAATTGCAGTTTGGTCAATTTCGACGTTGCTATCGATGATTTTTATGGCGACGATCGTCGGTGTGTCTGCTGACTTGCATATTGCTTTGTAGACTGTGCTGTGGTCGCTCGCGCCGATTTGTGATTGGATTTCGTACTCGTCGGCGACTTTTGGGAACTTGGAATGAGTTCCCTTGGCGGCGGAGGTTTCTTGATCTTGGATTTGACGGCGGTCCATTGTTGATGACGGGTCGAAGACTTTCTTGTTTCTGTTGAATGGTGATGTGTAAGAGATGGGAGATGAGGGAAGTATTTATAGGGAATCTGTGTATCGTTATGTTGACTGAGTCTTTGACTGACTTTGACTGAATATTTTGTTTTGTAACGGTTTTTCTTGTTAGGTAGTTAAGTGGTTTCATGTAGTTACTTAACGGTTTTAATAACTGAATAATGAGGCTAATTGATTTTTTTTTTTTTTTGGTGAATTATGATTTCTATTTGGTTATTGAAATTTGAAAAATAGCTCAAAAGGGTCACAAGAGTTCATTGACTATTGGTCAAGGGTATAATGACTATTAACTCTAAAAGATCAGTAGAGTTCTCTTGTCGTTCATTGGTGTAATGACTCATACTCAGGATTTAGATTAGGATTCGGTCAAAGGTGTAATGACTCATATCAGGGATTTATGTGACAGCTCAAGCTCACCGCTAGTAAATATTGTTCTCTTTGGGCGCTCAAGCCCATTGCTAGTTGATATTGTTCTCTTTGGGCGCTTTCCCTTTATTTTAAAACGTGTCTGTTAGGGAAAGATTTCCACATTCTTATAAAAAACCAATGTGGGTTTCACAATTTAGATTAGGATTCGGCACCTGATAGCTCCGACTGCCCATGATTTTGATCAGGGCTCGGTTAAGGTTGTAATGATTCGTTCTCGTCTCGAATAGATGTGGGGTCTCACAATTTAGGTCAGGATTCGGCACATGATAGCCCCAACTACCGAGGATTTAGATCAAAATTCGATCAAGGGTGCAATGGCTCGTACCCAAGATTTATATCAGGATTCAACATGTGATAGCTCCGACATTTCCCTGCATCTCCTGCCACATAGTCACATTACCTACTCCCCACTTCTAAAAGTGAAAACTATTCTCACAAACCACACAAATTTTCATAGGTCACCCAACACAAAATTGCTCCCATTAGAGCATGCTTAACCATGAAGTCTTCGAAAGAAAACGTGCACATTGTTGGTATTAGGTAGCAACTTCTATTTCATATAAGCCTTTCTTAGTCATCCTATTTTTTTTAGATCGCTCACATTTGGATGTGATCTCAGTTCATTCATACATCTCTCATTTACTCGGGTATCACAAAAGGTTTATTGAATTATACTTAAATGGGCATTATTTTGCCTTCATCCCAAATTAAGGTAATTATTCATTTTAGTTATTAAATTAATAATTTATTTTGTTTTATTACCTTAATAATCCTCTCCCAATCAAATAATTAATAAATATTTGACCAAACAATTATTTTGTTGTCCACTATGTATACTCTATACAAGAGTTGCTCTAACCAATGTTAAAAAAATATATCTCAAACCTCCAAAAAGAAAAAGAAAAATCCAGCTGTAAATAAGTCCAAATGATCCGGTACGGGCGACACTACTGGCATTTAATGATGAGGCTGAAACGTCCGTGGGGATTTGGATGGAAATCAATTCTCATAAAGGCCTTAGAGAAGCCCAAATAATGGGCCCATCATGGCCCACTTTGCCTTTATTCCCACTCTATTCAACCACTCCAATAATAATAATATTTTTTAAAAAATAAATTATTCTTTCACCTTTTAAAATTCCCTAAAAAAAATTAGAATTTTAATTTTTCTTTTGTCTCATCCTAATATATTATAAAAAATAAATTTTAATAAAACTCTCAAATTGAAAATTAAGTTTAGAAATATACGAATTCAAAAGTAAAAAAATTTAATTATATATTATCGAGTTGGCATCCAATTATTTAATTCCAATCCTATGTGTCAATGCTTCTTTCCTCGTCACCTAAACATTATATTTATATATAATAAAGTATGATCATGTTCAACCTTTTAATTCCACGAGTATATTAATATGTACGATGTTTATTGCTAATGACGTTGTTTATATGTATCGAGAAAATTTCGGTTAATTTAAAGTACACTCTTCTGACTAGTCGAGCGTTTCTTTCATTTTCGCCTTATCTCAAGAGCATACGGGTTTATGGGTACTGTTGAACTAGACTCGTAAATAGAAGTTGTATTAGGTTGGATTGTAAACTCAACCAACTCGAAATTTCAGACACTCGTGTATAACTTTATAAAGATGAGATAATTATAAATGTTGTATAAGGTAGAGAAGTGGGGCGGGGAAATTTATTAATTAATGGGAGGTTGACGAGGCATTATCAAAAGGGTTAAGGAGCAATAATCAATTATTTAGATGCGACGTCTTTTTCTTTCTTAACTCACGAACTTCGTCTATTTCCATTGACCTAATCTCTTTAAATTTTTCTCAAATTATATTATATCATATGAAAATTAATTTTTTTAATGTAATAATTGACACGGGTTTGAAATACCTTATATTTAATAACATGTTCGGTTCATAACTAATATTTGAATATTTTTTTTTTATTAAAAGGGGCAATATAATTGAATATTTTTTTTAGGGGCTAGGAATTACATGTAAATAATTAAAATGATTTGATTTGTTGCTAATATAATGCATCTCAATAATTATTGACTTTAATGTAAAGAATAATTAATGAAATTTAGTAATGAGATTAGAAGATTCTAGTATAGTTTTAAAATTTGTATTTATTTAATTTATAAATTATCAAAAATATTTAATCAAAATCTTCCAATTAAATTATGTGTTTAATAAGTTGTTTTAACATTTAATAAAGTTATCATATATTTAATTTTTTAAAAATATCTAAAAAAACCCTAAAATTACTTTGTTGTAAGAAAAATGTTGAATATATGATAGATATATTAAATATAAAATTATTATTATTATTATTATTTTTGTAGATTTATGGTACAGAAAATTAAAAATATTAAATTTTATTTAAATAAATATTGAATTTAAGCAATTAAAAGTTTATTACACATTTTTTAAAATTTTTTATCAAATAAATAGAAAATTGAAATGTCAACTACTAATTGTGGAATTAAAAAAAAAAAAAAAAAAAAAAAAAAAAAAAAAACCGCCGTTAAAGAGCGGGAGTCGGCACCGACGCGGCAATGGGCTTATATAAACAAGGAACAGAAACAGGTCGCACTCCGACACCGTTCCCGGAATCGCGACTTCACTCTGATGCCTTAATACAATCCCAAGCAATCTAAAGGTATCGTTTCGATTCTTCTTCTTCTTCTTCAGCATTCTGCAGAGTCTTTCTTGTAATTAATTTAGTACTTAGATCTGGTTGCTGTCTCTCGATCCTCTGATTTTACTGCCGGAATGTGTGTATGTCATCTTGATTTCTTGGTGCCACATTTTGTTGCTATTGATTTCTAATTTCTTGGCCGAATTTCGAAAGTGATTTGCTGATACTGGATACGTGTATGATTTCCTGATGATTGAGAGGTTGTGTTCCTGTGGTGTTACTGTAGCGTTCAATTTGTTGGTAATTTGTTAGTCGATCATCATAAGCTCCTTTTTTTGAGTTCATTCATAGAGACTCTTTGCATTTGGAAGCTTGTATATGTGGTTACGATGTTGGTTAGATAAATGTTAATTAAGGTAATATCCTCCACCTATGTGAGCCTTTTTTTTAATCTAAATATGCTTTTGATTTATTTTTATGGCATGGTGAGATTTGGATAATTGTGGTTCTTATAGAAAATGATCCTGGTGACTTGCAATCCTATGTTGAAGTACTGACTGATTCATCACTTTAAGTTTTTTTTGGTTTGAGTGATTTAACATGGTGGAACTTCCACCCTATGTTTGAATCGCTGTAATGTTATTTTCACCCTAATTAATATTGATTTCCATTTGTTGGGCCTTCTACATATTTACAAACCTCCAATACCTACAAGTTAAGGAAAGTGTCAAAGTATTGATGTTAATTAAATTTACCATAAGTTTTGGGTGAGTAGTGATTTAATGTCATATCGTTTCATTTTTATACAAATGGAAGATCGCAGTGTGGCTTCGGTTCTCTTCCCCCATCTCTCGAAATATTGTTTTCAGTAAGAACAACCTTGGATTTTCTTATATATGTGCCGGTATGTGAATTGATGTGTTTACTTTTATTGCAGAGTTGGTTTGTGTATCAATTGTGACCCTGTTGTCTCCGTTGTCACGATTTTCGTCGTTGCAGTATTATGGAGACTGAAGGTACAGATGTTTGCATGGATAAAGAGCCAGATCGTGTTATAACATATTCCTCTAGAGGTGGTTCCCATGCTTCATCTTGTGAAGATAGCCTCAGTCATCAGGATGTCATGGAGTCATTTGGCGAAATAAATGGGGATCACGATATCAACAATTCAGAAGAGGGAAGTGAATCAAAGGAATATGAAGTGAAGGAATGTACAAATGAAAAATCAATCAAGATTCCTGAAATGCACCCTTCAAAGAAACCAGGCCAACAGCAAAATGTGGTTAGCAGCTTGACTAATGAAAAAGAGAGACTGGAGGAGAAGGTACAAGAAGGAAAGAACGATGACAAATTACTGTTAACTGTGAACTCATTGAAATCTTCTGCTGGAAATGCTCGTTCAAGACATACTGTTCCACAGCCATTTGCCTTGGCAACGGAAAAGCGTGCTTCATCGGGTACTCGACTTCCCAGCGCTATCACCACTGAAAAATCTACCAAAAACAATATTCGGCCTGCAAAGACCAAATCAAATCAGGTACATTCTTAGTTCCCAGGATTTGTATAATTCAATTCATTGGACATGCTTAACCCACTGCTTTCACTTGAACGGATGTTTATCAATGAATTTGCTTTTACTTCCTGCAGCCCACATCTCCTAGGGTGTTGAGGAAGCCACTGCAACCTAATAACAAGAAGCATGCTGATGAGGAAGATTCCTGCTCTGCGGTTTCCGTGTATCTTTCTTATCTTTACACTATTTTATTTGCTACTAGATTTAACCTTTCCACATTTGCTCTAAAATTGATTTCTGCCATCGAACGGTAGCAGTGCAGCATCAACTCGGGCTATCAAGACCAGAATTACTGTTGCATCAGTTCCTGCATTGAGGTGCACAGAGCGTGCAGAGAAAAGGAAGGAGGTACTACAGCCAGATCATCTTATCGTATCCAGTTTCTTTGTTCCCAACTTTTTCTATAATAATCTATATCCTACATTCTTACGACATTTTTTCTCATGTATTTAGTTTAATTCGAAATTGGAGGAAAAACTCCAGGCTCTGGTGGCTGAGAAGACCGAGTGTGAGACGAAGTCCAAGGTAAAATATATATTTGTTGCTGCCTCCCTTTCCTTTCCTTTTCATTTTTCTTGCTTGTCACTGTCTGTAAATCTGTTCTTATTAGTTGATTCCTGAAGTTTATTCTAAAGTTATTCTCTTTCTTTCCTTGTCACCTTCATTAATCTTCCCAAATTTGAAGGAAGAGACTGAGGCCGCTATCAAACAACTAAGAAAGAGTTTATTATTCAAAGCAAATCCAATGCCAAGCTTCTACCACGATGGGCCTCCTGCCAAGGCTGAGCTGAAAAAGGTACTCGTTACAAATTTTTGTGGCCCCTACATTATCTTGACAAACAGAGAGCATATTATTGAGAATATACGAATTCATTTTCTGCTTAAATTATTATTAATAATACTGTGTGCCAGCTCCCACCAACTCGTGCAAGGTCACCTAAACTTGGCCGACGTAAGAGTTGCAACAATGCGGTTCTATCCAATGGAAACAAGATAAAAGTCAGTCTTGGCAAGGGAAATGGCCATCGTACCGACAGTTCCAACAGAGATACTATTGCATTGGATGTCACCGAGAATCAGAGCAATGTCATTCGCTTTGTAGAAAACGAGCTGAAGCAAGGAGAAGCCTTTTGCGAGGTGATTTCTATTGATGTAAATGGTCCAAACAATACAAATATTTCTGTCCAGTCTTAAGTTGGTGACGAACTTCCAAGTCTCTTCTACCATGCTTTACGTCTACGTCTACCATTTTCAAGAGTTCGTTGCAGTGGTTTATGTAATTTATGAAATGTAAATTTCTGTAATTTATATTGGTTTATGTGGAAGCTTTTTACTTCCAGATCAAATAATTATCTTCTAAGGGCCCTCCCCCTGACAGAAAAAAGGAAAGCAGAAAGAAGCAGATCTACTAAGATGTGGTTCGAGCTATTGTTTCCTTTGTTACTTTTGTACGTAAATTATACATTGACCATTCTTGTTTCATAGACTTCGATCTGAAAATAAAAGTGGATACTGTTCCTGTGGCTTTATTGCTTTCTGTTACATGACTTCCATTATTTATGAACCTAACTTTGCTTTCTATTATACAAGAAAGGACTATTGCTCGTCGGTTATTCACGTGCATGGTTGAGGAGGCAAAACAAGGTGCGTTTCATTGAATCCCTGTCTGGAAAATATTTTTTCTTGAGCAAATTAAGATAGAAGAACGAAAAGGGCTAGCGCAAAAATGTATGAAACTTAGGTGTTGGAGCCTCGCCTCGAGTGCTATGAACTGAACAACTCTTGGTCGTTTTATCTCATGAGTTAGGTTTATGAACTTCGAGTATTTCGAGATTAAGAAGTTAGCACTTATTTTTTGCCTTCATTGCGCTTTTTGACAGGGAATTTCTTCAAATGCAAAACATGAAACAAACTCGAAAAACCAGTCTCCTCACGAATGTTCTTCTCCAGCCATGAGGAGAAATCTTTGGTCTAACATCTCAACTCCCCACCGTCTCGTACGACACATCCAGCTCGTGAGTTGCTTGGCGCCCTTTTCTAAGGTAAAAGAGATCCTTTTACCCTTTGCTTCTTCTATGACATATAACATGTTTAATATCTTGGATATCCACCAAGAGATTTGAATCTCTCTCAAGATTTACTATTAGTTAAGTTGAAGGCGTCTATCGTTTCCACTAGTATAGAGGTGCGTAGTATGGAGGACTCGCACCGATTTGACATACAAACTCGATATCTTTCCTTACAGCTAAAGCTTGTATAGTTGCCAAAAGAAGAGGGGCTCCATAAATAAGAAAGATTTAGCTGGCCATATTCCTTAGCTCTTGGGTATTTTAGCCTTCCAAATGTGCATGTATTGTCTTGATTGCATCCAGCCAAATTTCCATTGATATCTTTTTCTTACCAAATTCTTATGAATGGCAATTCTTCATTCGTTGTTTATGCTCAGACTTCAATATGACATTCAAAATGAAAACAAAAACTAAGGTATTGATTGTGTGCACATTCTTAGCTATTCTTAGGCTTTAGATAAGGCTAGGTTTGAGATGTATTTTGGGGCTTTTGTTGATTCGGGTTGGGTACAGGTTTAGTGTGCAAATGATTGGGTCAACCCAACTCAACCGGGTAACATAAAAGAAAAAAAAGAAGAGAAGGAGTTGGGCCCAAGTACACGTACCCAGTACACGGTACGTGTACTCCTCCTTGCACGACGCACACTTTAGTCCTCGGCCAGTGTATCAAAGATCAATTGTCATTAGTACTTCTTTCCAATTCCTACTCGAGTACCCTCCTCGTTAGTCTCCACCCAATACAAACACAATGTAGTCTTCGCACAGCACAGTTGATAGCTCCACACCCACATTCTCCTTGCAGTACACTCTTCGGTCTTCGGTCGATGCCTCCTCCTCCCACTCTTTTGGTCGGAACCTCCTCCTCGCCAGTTGCCACACGGTTATTCTTCCTTCCTTCCACAGTTATCCTCCTCGTAATAGAGGTGTAAATCCTTCTCACAGTGCACTCTTCCGTCTTTGGTTGGTGCCTCCTCGCTAGTCACCACATAGTTCTTCCTTCCACTTGGTTCTTTTTCCTTTCTTCTACAATCTCTTTTCGGGATTCTTGAGCATATTTTTTGAACCATCCAAACAACTTGAACTTTTGAGTTGGTCCAAGAAATTACTTTAATCCAGCCTATGCACACCCCTTATGCATGATTGTGTAGGGTTTTGAGTGTTACCCATGTACACGTTTTAAACACATTTTAAATTTGATGAAATCAGAAGTCAAAATAAATTGATTTTTTTTTTCTATAAAGTTTTTTTATTTGGATTACGTGTACCATCAATTGGACCCAACAAAAATTATTTCTGATTTTCTGATTTTTTAAAATTAAATTTATAAAAATTATTTCTACTTGTTATCAACTTTTTTTATTCTTTATTTCTTGATTAATACGGGTCATGATTGAATGCAATTTCTTTATTTTGGAAGAACGGTTCCAAATGTTGAGACGGCTCTTTATGCTCATTTCATATTCTTGATTTGACAATAACATTTGGATTTTTATACTAATTAAATAAATGAGATAATAATGTTGTCGGTTCCTTTATAAACTTTTCATTGTACTCATTAAACGGTTTCTTAATCCCGACAAAAATTCCAAGGTGGATGACGGGATAGAATTACATTTAAGGTATCTTAAGTTTCGTTCATAGAAATGATATTTCGAATTATTTCAACTCGAGGTTCAATTACTCTTGAATAGATTACAAACTTTAGGATGACATATTAGAATACTAACTCTAGAATTTATGAATACTTCATTGTATTAATTTTAATATTTTGATTTATAATTTAGCTAGTGATCATTCTAATATTGATGGGAATAAGAGTTGCAACGTTTCAGTTGATCATAGGTTCTAGCTTACTAAGACTTTTATATCGATATAGGACCAAAATTGAAAAAGAAATTAAAAAGATTGCACTTGTGATGACTCGCTATTCAAATTGATCAAATTCCTACCTATTTCCTGAAGTTTCTAACGTTGATTTCTTAGTCAAGCTGAACGGTTTAACCAAGGGAGAATGAATGACTCAATCAAGAATAGACTTGTAATTGTATAACAATTCCAACCGACCATGAAGTAGAATATTTTTGTTAATAATATAATATTAGAGTACATAAAAACAATAATGTGATGATTTAAAAAATACCCGTAAAATTTTAAAAGTAGCATTTAACACCATTTTTTAGTGATTTTTTTTATAAAATTTTTACCATCCATATATGAAAGTTTATGTGTATTTTTTAAATATTGTAATAACAGTAAGTTTTTTAAATTAAAAACGTTTTTAAACTTTAAAAAAAAAAAAAAAAAAACTTAAGAAACCCTTAAAAACTGAATGATATTTAGGTAACAAGGTATTTTTTAAACCATTTTGAAAAATTCATTTTAAACAAAGTGTTAGAGTTTAAATCCAAAAATAAATATCTAAATATTAAATAACTCAATTAATTCGATAATATATTATAATAAAAAAATAATTAAAAAAAAGGTGTCCTTTTGGGATTATCATTATAATAAGCCGTTGGAATCTTTATTAAATTTATTTATAACAAGCGTGAAACATTTGTTCTTTTATTTTAAATCTCCACCTCCTTTTTCGAGACTATAATTTATTTATTACATTTTCACTTTAAATTTTTAATTAGATTTAAGTACTAATTTATTTTAGTTATTTTATGTATTGGTCGCTGTATTGTCAACTTTCGTCTATTTTAGTTTCATTATCATTTTAATGCAACACGACCCTTATTAAATTTTATGAAATATACTCATAATTTTATATTAAAAGGAATTGTCGTTGCGTATATAAAATTTATGTTAGAATTTTATAAACAATGACCAAAAGGGTCGTTTTTTAAAAAGCAATTAAAAATTCGAATATTTTAAAAGCATAAAAATAAATAACGTTGACCGAACCTAAAACCCACCAAATGAACAAATTAACCCAAAATAATTTTAAACTTTTGAATGATACTCCTAAACTTTAAAAAATTACTTTTACTACTAATTTTAATTTTATATAGACTAAAAAAATTTGAAAAATATCGAAATTTTTTAATAAAAATTATCTTAAATTTATTTTGCAGTTAATACATATATAAAATCACAAAATCAGGTTCTTAAAATAATATTAATATCCTTAAATTTTTTTAGTTATTTATTATTAATAATAAATTTATTGATATTTTTAAATATTCATATTCTAATAGAAGCATTTATTAATTTTTTAGTTTAATAATATTTTTAAATTTTCATATATTTTTTAAAAAAAATTAAAAAATTCTTAGATTTTTTTGTTTTATATTTATATCCAAATTCAATAGTGATATTTTAGAAAATATGTGAAGGAAAATGAAAGAGAGAAGAAAGGGACGGATTTCAAACAAATTATTCAACTTCCCTAAATAAAAGTGGTCACCTCTTTATCCGGAAACTTCTCGCTTTTAAATAATAATTGATATATATTTCTTCCGTCAAAATTAAAAGTTAAAAATTTTAGTAGTTCTAATTAATATCGCTAGAAATTACGAACCTTCACAATAATACAATATTGTCCACTCTAAACATAAGTTCTCGTCGTTTGCTTTTGGTTTCTCTAAAAGACATCATTTCAACGTACATGTATTTCTTATTTATAAATTTATGATCAATCACGAAGAAAAAATTAGAAAATAAAAACTATAATAAATAATTAAAAAAGTGACCATTTTTAATATATACATGAATCACATTTAATATTTTAATATATAGTTTTTAGATAAATAAATATGGGTATGGGTATGTTCTAAATTACCTTTATATAGGCTGGCACTTTGAAAATTTTAGAAAGCAATTTAGCATAATTTTTGGAAATACAAAATTCTCTCTCAATCTTCCACTCCAGCAATCGCCGCCGGAGTTCTCTCTCCGACATGAAGCTCTCCGGTAACTCTCTCCCGATCCTCTCCGGCGTTATGGGAGTCTAAAGTTTTTGTCTTCTTTCTCTGGGTTTCTGATTATGTTGTGTTTTGTGGTTCAGATCTCGTCGAAAATGGCGGCGGAATCGCCAATCAGGCTCGGATCATCGCCGTGTCGTTGGTCGGAATCGTGGCGGCCGCCGGAACGCGTTACCACTGGGGCAGGAAATTGAGGCCGTCGGCCGTGATCGTAGATCAGAAAATCATTCCGGTGATCGGACGGACGGAATCCGGCCGGTCCGGAAACATTGAAGCGTTCCCTCACTATGTTGGTATGGTTCCAAAAATTTAATATTATTCATTAATTAATCTTTTTTTTTGTAATTTAATAAAAATAAATAAATATTAATTAACTCCTGACCAATCAGTAGGTTAGGTGTATGACACTGTTTTGTTATTATTATTATTTAATAACGATAATAATAATTACCTTACTGAGTTTTGAAAATTTGAGAGAAGGTAATAGTGACGGGAAATTGTTTGACTGATAATTTGTGGATTCGATTGCAGCGAGGCAATTAGGGTTTATGGATGTCGGGGAGTGCCCGAGGTTGGCGAAGTTGATGAACGATTATTTGAAGAAGAAAAAAGGATGTGAAGAATCGATATACGAGTATTTGATTGATGAAAAGAATGGTGATTCGTTATACGTGAAGCTGATTGAAGAGTTAGAGACGTGTATTTTGAGCTACTTTGCTTTTCATTGGGACAAAGCTCCTCAAATGGTTTCTCAGGTATGCTTACTCGACCCGACCATATTTTATTATTACGTTGTTTATCTCGTGTTAATTAGAGTTGTTTGTTCTTCTGGCAAAACGATTTTTGTTGGGTTGCCCATTTTCTCATGGGGACCTTTAGGGACCCACGCGTATGGAGCGTACTGGGGAGGGAGGAAAAAACCAAGAAAACTAAATGTTTTCGTCCCCGTCCGTATAACCCGTTTTTATATTATTATTTAAAACTTAATAAATTAATTATTTTATTTATGCTAAATTAATAAAAATATCCCTCGTCTTTTATATATATATATATATATATATATATATTTTGGTAGTTTCTTGACTTTTGAAATATGATAGTGAAATGTGCATGTAATTTATTGAAGTAGTTGGGACAATAATTTAATTATAATTAAAATAACATGTAACATTTCCTCACGTTATGAATAAAATATGATATAATATTATTATACAACGATATTGTTCTTTTTTATAAATATTTTATGGCAAAGACTTTATTATAAATGTTTTTCTTCTATTTATTTAATATGTATACTCACTATTTAGATGTATATTACCTTTAATATTCGATAATTTAAATATTT